CTGCATATATATATATATATATATATATATATATATATATATAAAACATATGAAAACTAATATGAATACAAAAAGTATATATCTACAGGTGGGGTCAAATTTCTGATGTCAATACTGTAGCCATACATGAAGTCACTTTCAAACCCAGCAGCTTTCGGTTGGTGAATACAACGAATCTGTGTAACCAATGCAAAATCTGCATGTTTTTTCATCCTCGCACAAAACTCCCGATCATGCAGATTCCTCCTGAAATGACTGAATTTCGGCCATGAAATTTGGCCAAGCCTCAATAAACGTGACAGCAACTTAAGAACTGAATTTAAACAAAATTATTTTTAAAGTATGTTTTTATATAATCTTGGATAACGTCATCTGTCATTAACCCTACTATGCCAGTGAAAGAGGTGTTTAAAAGTGTTTGGAGTGACAGTAATTCTCACCCCCTGATTGGGCAGATTATCAGTCTTGAGCTCACGGTGGTTGGAATACTGGATGTAGACGGGCTGGTTGCGGACATGGGGTGTGGCTGTGGTGTAGTAGTTGACCATGGTGATTGCTGCTTCTTCAGAAGCCATTTCTATAAAAGCCTGTAGTGCAAAGAGAATCATACTGTAAGTGCTCAACCCTGATAACAACAGCATTCAGATAATTGCACATATGTGGTGTCAGTTAATCCAACTTTTTCTTAGTCTGTTTTAATGCAAATGAAACAAATCTTAGTGGGCTAAAAGAAATGGAGATAAAGAAGAATAAGTGCTGCTCTGCACTTATGGACGGACAATAGAACAAGCTTAATCTTGTCTGTGGCAGGACAATGTTTAATACTTCGAGTTAAAGTATTATTCAAATCACTAACCCTAAGCATGAGCAATACAGTAGTGATGCTTGTCTTAACAGGCACCTCTAATAATTATTCTGACCTCATCAAGCAAGGTGTGAAAGATTTATAGATGCAGAATCTGACAATAAACAGAATCTTTTGAAGCCTCAATCAAATCAAGCAGCAAACAACATATTATGCAAAAGGGGCATTAGAAATCTGTCTGCCTGTCTTTTCTTGTCTAAATATGCCAGTTTCCATTTGAATATGAAAAGATGCTCGAGTGGAAGCGGGAGACTGCTGTGTTTTTGCAGGGCGTCTGTTATTAGATGGACCTTGATGTGTTTGAAAGGATGCACACTTCAGTTTCAGTATCACTGGCCATAACTAATGAAGCAAAAACAGATCTGGACCATTGTCCTCACCATCCCTTATAAAGGAAAAAACAGACAAAATGATTCATCAAAAAATGACTTTGATGATGGTATTTCTTAGTATAGTGGGTTTTTTATAGGTCAGTCTCATGAAAAAAAAGAAATGTCAGGGTCATAATTCAGTTCAGTCCAAAGGGGAAAAAAACTACATTTTGCATAAAGAGAATGATCCCTATTTTAAGACTAACCTTAGTTATTTAATTATTCTTATAATACAAAATAACAATATATATATATATATATATATATATATATACATAAAAAAATTATATCAATACCGTAATGCAAAAAAGTTACATTATCATTACTGTAACACAAATGTGACCCTGGACCACAAAACCAGTAATAAGGGTCAATTTATGGAAACAATTTTTCATACATTATCTGAAAGCTGAATAAATAAGCTTTCCATTGATGTATGGTTTGTTAGGATAGGACAATATTTGAGATACAACTATTTGAAAATCTGGAATCTGAGGGTGCAAAAAAAATCAAAATAAAGAGAAAATCGCCTTTAAAGTTGTCCAAATGAAGTTCTTAGCAAACTTATAAAAAATTAACTATTGATATATTTACGGTAGGAAATTTACAAAATATTTTCATGGAACATGATCTTTACTTAATATCCTAATGATTTTTGGCATAAAAGAAAAATCGATCATTTTGACCCATACAATTATTACACAACTATTGTTGGCTATTGCTACAAATATACCCGTGCTACTTAAGACTGGTTTTGTGGTCCAGGGTCACAAATACCATCCTGTCCAGAAATCCTTTTCTGTTTTGTTAATGCATTTTTTAATGCATCCAATAATTTTTCTCAGTGAAAAGTTTTATACCCTCAAAAATAAAAAGTATTTTAAATCATGAAAAAAAATTCCCATGATGTTTACATTTATAATTTAAATAATATATTATATTTTTTTACTGAGAACATGCGTAATTGCCTAAAATAAATCTTAATAAGTAGTGCTGTCAAATGATTAATCGCATCCAAAATAAAAGTTTTTGTTTACATAATATATGTACATTTACTGTGTATATTTATTATGTATATATAAATACACACACATACAGTATATATTTTGAAAATATTAACATGTGTATACATTTATATTCTTATATTATATGTAAATATATTCAATGTATTAACATATTTTTCTTAAATATATACATGCATGTGTTTGTATTTATATATACATAATAAATATACACAGTACACACACATATATTATGTAAACAAAAACTTTTATTTTGGATGCGATTAATCGCGATTAATCGTTTGACAGCACTATTAATAAGCTTCATTTTTTATGTCCAAGACAATGCCTGAAACAATGGTATTGTCACACCATTGTCCGCACTGAGGAAGTAGGCCTACATTTCCTAAATCATGTTAGTTACACTGTGATGAACTACACAGAGTTTTAACAGTGGGGATATGTATGCTGGTTTTCTCTCATCTTATTCATGCCGTTTAATCCGGAAATTCCACTGCTAAACCAACATGAAAGCATAAGGTGAGGTTTGAGAATCTCAAAATGCAAATTTCAAACCCATCAGTGTTTCTTAAATGCCTGAGGTTCCAATGGTCATGCTGCAAAATGCTTACAGAGCTGAAAGAAAGGGCAGAGATGTGTTCGCAGGTTAATGGAGCACCTACTTGGTTTTTCCCTTTAAGCATCAACAGGTTGGTGACTTTGCCGAAAGGGACTCCTAGTGAGATGACCTCTGCCTCGGACACTTCGATGGGAACTCTGCGGATGTGGAGGACACGGGAGGGGTCACAAGGAGATCGTTCTCCTTTATACGTTTTATCATCAGTGCCATTAGCTGCCAAAAAGGAAAAAGAAAGAGACAGATTATCATTTTTTAATTTTACCAGTTTTCCAAATGCCAAAACTGGCATTGATGTACATGGATATTACAAAAGCAAGACCCGTCAGACACCAAACACTATTATTATCGACTGACTGACACCAAAAAGGTCACGGTTACTAAATATTTTGCAATGTTTTGGCCTCACAAAGGACCCTCAATGAAGGTCAAGAAACACCAGACAAACAGACATGGGCAGAAACACAAAACAGACAATACGACAGTGGTGGGCAACATCTCTGACGCTTCCCCTCGAAACAATACGACAAGCCTCTTACAGGATTAAGCAGGCCTCTGTAGCCTGTCAAGACTCCAAATGGCACCCATTGTGGGGCATTTGGCACTTGGCTATGTCCAGGGGCACATCACAGGCTGGTGACAGGTTTAACAGAGACAGACCGTGGCGGAGTGCCTGCCTCAGCTTTCATCACTTGCAGCTTTCTTTTAAGCTCTTGTGCTGCTTGTGTTCGTCTGATTGCAGATAACAGCATCAAAGCAATCGGTATCAGTCTCAGTGTCATGTGCAAAATGAAAAGATGGTAGAATGTATTATACGTTTATTTTTTTTTACCAAGACACATTACAACCTACAGTGGGCAGACTTGTGGTCATTTGGCCTAAATTCCCATTATTAGCCAAACAGCTAGTCCTGCCCCAAAAAATCACACCATCGGACCAGACAATGACAGACGTCTACATTCGAAATGTTTTCCTTCAAATTGTCTCTGAATATTAAACTTGGTTAGGAGAAAGCATTTTAGCACTGGAAAGTTGCACACTTCACCCTGAAGTAATTGCAGAAGCGAAACAAAAGAAGTGCAGAAATTGCTGCATTGTTAGACTCTCCTATTATGTATTTGTCTAGTTATTGGTAGGTCATGCATGAGCAATGAACTTAAAGGCTCTATTACTGTAATACAGGGAAAACCTATTCAGATACATTAAAATATGTGTTAAATGTTCCTCAGTTTGTATGTGTGTATGTTAGGTAGAAATGGTACCAATTTCTCCATGATGAATGCTGTAGTCCACAAGGACAAGTGAAAGTGAGATCTCTCTCTCATGCACTGGTGCACTCTCTCTTTCCAAAGTTAAGCCTGTCGACGAGAGGAGGCACAGAGAAACAGCAGTGCACAAAAGAAAGTGCTGCCATCAGCAGGACATACAGACACATTTGAAAAAATGAACATGCTCAATACAGTGATCCAGACCCTCCCCTTACAGCCTAGTGAACTGGCTCCTCACAGCCCAGCACAGTGATCCAATCCCTCCCTTCCAGTCCAGAAATCTAGACCCTCCTCTCACAGCCCAGTTTAGTAATCTAGACCCTCCCCTCACAGCTCAGCACAGTGATCAAATTCCTCCCTCAAAGCCCAGTGATCTAGACCCACCCCCCACAGCCCAACACAGTGATCTCATTCCTCCCTCCTAGTCCAACAATCTAGACCCTCCTGTCACAGCCCAGCACAGTGATCCAATCCCTCCCTCCCAGTCCAGAGATCTAGACCTAACCCTCACAGCCCAACAGTGATCACATCTCACCCCTCACAATCAACCGATCTAGACCCTCCCCTCACAGCCAGCACAGTGATCCCATCCCTCCCTCCTAGTCCAGAGACCTAGACCCTCCTGTCACAGCCCAACACAGTGATCTCATTCCTCCCTCCTAGTCCAACAATCTAGACCCTCCTGTCACAGCCCAGCACAGTGATCCAATCCCTCCCTCCCAGTCCAGAGATCTAGACCTAACCCTCACAGCCCAACAGTGATCACATCTCACCCCTCACAATCAACCGATCTAGACCCTCCCCTCACAGCCCAGCACAGTGATCCAATCCCTCCCTCCTAGTTCAGAGATCTAGATCTAACCCTCACAGCCCAGCACAGTGATCCAATCCCTCCCTCCCAGTCCAGAGATCTAGACCTAACCCTCACAGCCCAACAGTGATCACATCTCACGCCTCACAACTCACCGATCTAGACCCTCCCCTCACAGCCAGTACAGTGATCCCATCCCTCCCTCCTAGTCCAGAGACCTAGACCCTCCTGTCACAGCCCAGCACAGTGATCTAGACTCACCACTAACAGTGATCCCATCCCTCCCTCCTAGTCCAGAGATCTAGACCTTCCCCTCACAGCTCAGCACAGTGATCTAGACTCACCACTAACAGTGATCCCATCCCTCCTTCCTAGTCCAGAGATCTAGGCCCTTCCCTCACAGCCCAGCCCCGTGAGCTAGACTCTCCCCTCTTAGCCCAACACAGTAATCCCATGTCAGCTCTCACAGCCCAACACAGTGATCTCATCCCTCCCCTCACAGCCCAACACAGACCCATATCATATCTGATAACCAAGTCCCTTCTCTACCAGCCTGTACCTTCCCACCCCTCACACATCTTAAGGATTCATCTGCTCTCAATAGCCTTTTTCTTCTTTTCCCACCGCTACAGACTTGCACTAACAGACTACTTGTCATTTATAATGCAACATTGACACTAAAAGGAGAAGTATCCATGTGACTAGACAACCAATAAGAGTCAAATCATTGTAGTGTGTGCTTTTGAGCTGTTCAAATGAATCATTGCCAAGGGGATCTAGTGAAATTCACCTCAAAATGGAAATGGGATTTATAACAAGTAACAAACCTTATCAAAGCAGCAGGCTCCAAACAACATGTAGTCCTATGGTGGTTATGATAACGAGTGATGGCCTTCTGGTGTCTGTCTGCAAGCTGCTGTCAGCAAATGTTTAAGGCATTCAAAACCATGATAAGTTTTGGATTCTTCCACAACATAATACAAATTTACTTAAAAATATATAGCAATTTGATTAAAAAAATATGAATGTTTGCTTGTATACCATGTTTACTCATGTATACGCATACTGATTCCTGAACTGCCAGTTCTACAAGCAGATAAAATATAGTTAGTTCCAATTATGTCCTGCCTAGTCTGACGTCTACAAATACAAACCCTTATTTAATACTAATGAGGTCTGTCTTAGTCCAGACCCTGCATCTAGATTCAGTTGAAAGAGATAGGGATAATGAAAAACAAGTGTGCATCTGCAAGACATCTAATGTTAACACACAGAACATGGGTCTGATTAAATAGGCATCAAAACAAAACCTCCAGTGGAATAACGCAATGCAGGCTGAGGCAGTAGCCTACCACATGCAGAGAGCAAACAAACTGAGAAAAGAAACGATTGCATTCATGATATTTTCCCATACTGCAGAAAAGGATGCATGAACACAACGTGCTGAAAGAAAAAAAGCTTTTTTTTTTTTTAGAATATAATACCTATAAACTGCTGTTGAATAGCTCTTAGTCTGCAGTTTTCTTCCCTGGAGGCTCATTAGGAATATAAAATGTGCAAGTTTGAATAAGCTCAATTATGAAATGTTAGCACAGCCTAAAGACGGCCCTTATTTGCACAATCTTGGATACATTTTGCATTATTATACCTGAACCTTTACTGCATCTAGGGATTTGCTTATGATGCATGGATGAGACTCTTATGTGTCCTAGAGACAGTCATCTCGCCACATAGCAGCCACTAGGAGAACAGAAGGATGATTGGCCCACTTTTCCAATGACCCTGTGTTACCATGGTGACCATACACATGACCTATCAAGGCATCTGGCTTCACCAAGGCGATTCATCTCATTGTGCCGTTAACAAATCTTATTGTGTGTTTAATGTGATTAGAGGAACCATCCCTGGATCGAATATGCCACAGGCTTTTCAAGAGGAAATGAGTAAAAAAGGATCTTTGAAATTCATTGGCCATATGTGAACTCAATACACAGGCTGGATTGTGAAAAAAGAGATACATTTCCTACATTAATTTAGCATGCCAAAATTTTGGTAACACTAATAATTTAAGACCAATTCTCACTATTAACTAGTTGCTTATTAGCATGCATATTACTAGCATATCGGTGTTTATAAAGCACATATTAATGCCTTATTCTGCATGACCAATTCCACACCTAAACTTAAATACCTTAACTAAATAATTTGAGGCAAATTTGTAGTTAATAGTTAATAGGGAGAATTGGTCCCCAAAGTAAAGTAGGCTATGACCAACATTTTAAATAAGTCTCATTTGCAAACTTTGCTAAATCAGTGTTTTTAAACAAGAATTGAAAATAACATTTAAAATTACATAAATAAAACTTATTGTAATTATCTATATTTTAATTATTTATTTATTTGATTGACTGATTCATTGATTGAAAGAAATTAATACTTTTTAGATAATTGAACCGTAATCATCATATTAGAATGATTTCTGAAAATTAAAATAGAAAACAGAATCTTTTGTAATAATATAATTTATTATATATATATATATATATAAAAAAAAGGCATTTAGCATTTATGCTTTTATCCGAAGTGACTTACAAATGAGGACAATAGAAGCAATCAAAACCAAGTCAAGTCAAAAGAATAGAGAATGCTATTGTTAGTGGGTCATTTTTAATAATAAATAAAAAGAAAACAAGTAGTTAGAATAGAAAAAGAATAGGGAACACTAGTGTTAGAGGCTCTCTCTCTTTTTAAAGAAAACAAGTAGTTAGAATAGAAGTAGAATAGAGAGTGCAAGTGTTAGAGGGTCAAGTGGTTTTTTAAATAAAAAAGAAAAGAAATAGATCAAATAGAATTAGAATAGAGAATGCTAGAGTTAGAGGGTCAAATGAAGATGGAAGAGGTGTGTTTTTAGTAATATTTAACAATATTACTGTTTCATTGGAATTTTATTAAATACATGCCTGGTGATCGTAACAGTTATCGATCCCACATTTTTTGATTGTAGTGTACAGAAGTATAGCTATAATATACTTCTAAAATGTTCATAATAAATATAGGGCTTGATGACAATATTTGTTTTTAATCTTTTGCCAATTTTTTAATTCACAAAACAGTATTAAGATGACAGAAAATGAGGT